AGATTGCTTTTTAGCATATATGTTATTGAGATATTGGCTACTTATTAGTACTTATAAACTAAATAATCTGCATGATCTCATCCCTAACCCAATACCTAAACTACCTTAATATCTATTAATAAGGAGCGAATTATGAGTTAGTTTATTGAAGAAAAAGTCATAGTTAATGATTTGCTAATGACGAGAAGAGGACATTAAAATAAAATGTGACTATAAATTCTTTTCAACTGGTCCAAATGGATCATTTAGTGAAATTGTACAGAACATCGCAGAAAAATCTCAATCACAATGTCAGATTTCTCCGATATTGTGCAGCCCAAGTTTCAATATTATGTGAGGTCTAGTTACCAGCATGAAAATAAAACAGGTAATAGTAATAGTAATGGATGCTTTTTACTTAACTACACGTTTAAGGACATAGTTCTTTACTTTTACTTGAGTGCAAAAGTGTAGTCACTACTTTTACCCGAATCGTTTTAAACATGAGTATTTATAATCCTACTTGAATAAAGGATGTGTGTACTTCTGTTATCTCTGATTATGGGACCATTAAGAAAGTGTTTATTGATGATTTTAGTCATTTTAAAGAACATATTCTCACAGTTGGTTGTCTAAATAACCAATGAATTGGTACATTTTCTTTTTAAACACACACACACACACACACACACACACACACACACACACACACACACACACACAATGTATGCAATCTGTTTTATTTGTTTTTTACTTTTTTATTATAATAGTACTATTTTTAAATAATACTTATAAAAAGTCATTCTAAAGTATTTATAATTGTATTTATTACTATTTGTTTTTAGGCGAAGCAGTGGCACAGTAGGTAGTGCTGTCGCCTCACAGCAAGAAGGTCGATGGTTCGAACCTCGGCTCAGTTGGCGTTTCTGTGTGGAGTTTGCATGTTCTCCCTGCCTTTGCGTGGGTTTCCTCCGGGTGCTCCGGTTTCCCCCACAGTCCAAAGACATGCAGTACAGGTGAATTGGGTAGGCTAAATTGTCCGTAGTGTATGAGTGTGTGTGTGGATGTTTTCCAGAGATGGGTTGCGGCTGGAAGGGCATCCGCTGCATAAAAACTTGCTGGATAAGTTGGAGGTTCATTCCGCTGTGGCGACCCCGGATTAATAAAGGGACTAAGCCAACAAGAAAATGAATGAATTATTTATTTTAATTTATAATTATTTGTTATTATTATTTTTTTTTTATTAGTAGTATTATTATGATTATTTATATAATATCCATATATTCAATTCTGGAAGAACAAGCTGAATTTTCTCTCTCAAAAAAAAAATATATATTTTTTTTATCTCTAATTGTTTTGAAATATAAAAACACTTGTGTTTTTCATAATTTTATCAGTTATATTTTTTGTCAAGACTTTTATTTTTTTTATGAATAGACTAAAAAATTATTTATTTGATTTTCTTTCTGCAAATCAGTCTGTTCTTAGAGAAAAAAAATATATGAATTATTTTCAGAAGAACACCCCAAACCACATTCAGAAGACAACCTCAAATTGTATTTGTACTTCTTGGGAGGTTACAATACATGTTCAAGGAAACCATCCACATTATTGTTCATATTTATGTAACTGTAAAACAGCATAACCCCTTCCTTCACACACCAAACACCCCCCTGCCATCCCTGAAATCAAACCATTACTGAAATTAATGCAGAAATTTCAGGGGCGAATTCGGCATTATATTTTAATTACACGGCTTTCGTGGGGTGAAGGGAAACCCAAAAGGCCGATTGGGCCCCTGGAGTTGCTCTGATGAGGTGGGGACTACGGCTTTTAGTTTGGTCTCTTCACTGCTATTGTCTGAGCCTTTCCCCTGGGACGCCTGCGTTTGTGTCCCATGTGCTGTAATGAGTCTTTGATAAAATAGCTGCCAAAAACGTGATGAATAATTCATGTAAGGATTCAGATGTTGCCCTTAGAGATGGAAATTTCACCTCCATCCTCAAAACACTGGTTTACACAGACTATTTGCTCATTTTTTGGACCCTTTGTAACTCTCGATGGATTCCCATTTGGAAAATGGAGACATGTACGTCAGTGCAGATGAAAATCATACTCAAAGAGAAACTGATATAACATATACAGTACGTGTAAACCAAATGAAAGTAAAGGAGGAGGACCTCTGATATTATCGCAGTGAGGCAATGCCTGAAAGTCAAAATTAACCTTTGTCGAAGATGTAAACAAAATTACAAGTGTACATGAAAATGTTTGAATTTATTAACAAAATGTTAATATTTATATTATTCTATAAATGTCTGATTCTATTTCACCCATTTAGAGCTGTTTAGAGCATTTTTTCCCAAAAATAAAATGACAATTGGTCAGAATAACAAATGTTTTCTATTGTTGTATTGAAAATCAGGGTTATTCCATTTAAATATTGATTTCTTAATTCTTAAAACAATAATATTGTGCTGTTTAAAAATTAATTTGTCTGAAAACATTTAGTTTTTTTTTTTGTTATTTTGAAATCTGCTCTAAATCTGAGATGCCCAAACTAGGGCCCGCAGGTCAAATTTGGCCCATGATAATCTATAATTTGGCCCGCCATCCCATCTGAAAAGAAAGAGAGAATGATAGGAAGGGTTTAGAGATTGTAAAATCAAATGTAATGTAACTCTTTGTTTGTGTTATGGACAGCACAGACGGCAGTCATACATTGGCTCTGGGTTGAGGAAATTAAATAATACATATGCCATATAGCTGCATCTTTCGATTGGCGATTGCGATTTGATTTAGATTAATTGCACAGCTCTAGTTTGTTTTATTGTTAAAAGCTAACTGAAATGAAAGTTCAATTAAATGGTGTAAATTAATCAGATTTGGTTTAAATTGGTGAGTAAATCAAGTCAAACAGAGATTCTGCTTGACTAGTGTATTCAGCACTGAACTCCACTACTGTTATCAATGTGATTGTTTGCATTTTGTTGCAATAAGTTATCATTCAAAAAGTTATACTGCATTAGTTAATACGATTTAAGAATGTTTTCTATTTATTTTGAAATATTAGGAAATAAGTTATTGAAGTTATGTTAAATTATGGAAACTACCCATGGCAACTTTAATGTAATACTGTAAAGTATATTTACTTTCAGCCTACGGCTGGCAATAATATTTGATTTTTGGCCCTTCATATGAAAAAGTTTTGGCACCCCTGCTGTAAATTAAAAAAAAATAAAAAATTTGTAAGAATTGTCATCCGTAATTTATTGAATAAAACAAAAAAAGCATTTTACTCAAACACAACTAAGTCGGAAATCTAAAGAAACTGAGAATTTTCTAGTAGCCTCTTAATTTCATACAATTAAACATGAAAAAGTTATAAACAAACTTTCTTCCTGAAAACTAATTCAATTATCTTTCTCCCGATGCTTCTCACATTGACAAATCTAATCCAAAGTGCCTGTGTGCCTGACTAGACACTAGTGAGTGTGCATCCGTTTGCAATAAATAAAGGTTTGTTAGATGTGAGTGAATACTGTATCTGTCAGTTGTATGTTTATGGCAGCTTTCGCTTCATGTGAGAGAGATGTGTAATCATGTCCAGACTTTGAGCAGATGGTGTTTGACAGCACAGAACCAGAGACATATATCAGAGGCCGCTGTTTCCAATAAAGCAGCTTCCCGCAGACACTGAAACTAATCCTGCTCTCACCTAACAGTGAACAGCTAACGAGACTAGACTAAAACAGATTTCTTCTGACCCAGGTCCTGACCGAAACCCGAGCTGTAGATTCACAGTTTGGCCCAAATTGGGGATCAAAAACCACTTTGTCCAAGAATGTTTTTCTAATGTTATGAAAACGTTATTTCAGAATGTTCTCCAGTTTTTATTTTTGATGTAAAACTTTCAACATTAAAGATAGCATACCATATCAATCACTTTGGAAACATTGTGAAATATATATTTTTTGATTATACAAACAATCACTCATAAAATTAAAGGCTATTTACTGGCATAAATTGTTTTAGTTAGTTAAATAGTTAAACAAATGTAACTTTTTTATTCCACAAAATGATTTTTCACACTTTAAAAAATGGTCCTTTGAAGAATATTTCATAAAACATTTTTTGAGGAACCAAAAAGGGTTCTTCTATGGCATCACTGTGAAAAAAACCCTTCTGGTTTTTCATCACTTCTTAATTTTCAAGTGTACACTACATGTTAAATGATAATGCAAACTTTGATAACATTTTGAAAACATTAGCTGAAGACCAGATAATTTTGGACAAACATTCAATCATCATCATCAGGATGAATATTTGTAGGCCTACATAATGCAGAGAGAACCTTATCACAATGTTAACCAAAGTTTTTTAGCCAACTTCCTAATAGCTATATTAGTGGGCACTGTTAACAATCATTTCTCTTTTTCATAAAATATAGTTATAATATAAGGTGCAGATTTTTATTCATAGTAATGTAGCTATTGCTCATCCCAAAATAGTGGTTTTATATTTCATATTTCTGTTCAAGTATGTTGGGTTTAAGTAATGCAAGAATAAAACATCACTGTTATTGATATTAGCATAACAGTTGTCAGTAACTCAACTGTGTTGTAACCAAGCTAGCCATACGATTTCAACATAGTACCGTTAGCTAGCATGTGAAACCTACTAGAATTCATGTTTTATCACATTTGAAACGTGTTTGCAAAAGTTCTGCACATTTTTAACGTGTAAAACCTTTAAAAGTTATCCAAAAGCCACCTTTGGATTAGCATCTCTCTTCACTCACATTTAACCAACAGGGAGCGGTATTCAGCACACACACACATAACGGTACAGTATTTCTGCCTAAATCTAAACTTTCTTTTACAAAATAGTGCACGTATTTATCATCACATTCGCCGTATTCATAAACATAACCCCAAATGTTTCTGAGGATGTCTATAACACACTAATTATCGAGTTTAACATGCATTCACACCGCAAACGCACAACTTCTAGCATCTTACCTGTGACATCTGAGGTCTCAGGTTGATCTCCCTCAGGTTGATGGACTGGGGTCTCAGGTTGTTGAGAAGCTGACACAGGAGGACTCCATCCCGCAGGGTCTGGGCCAGGTCGAACACCTGAGCGGACTCCCATGTCACCCGATGGTTCGGTGGCAGCACCTTACAGTTGATCAGCCATAGCGCGCACTGTCTCCAATGCTCCATCCTGTCCATTGGTGAACGCTAGAAGATTCAGCAGCAATCCAAAACCAAAGCGCAAGTGGCGTGTCCTCCTCGCCCGATGCGCATAGCAGAATCACGGGCGAAATAAGCGACTGAATGGTGTTTTCTGAGGGTGGGTGATCCGTGTGCCGCCGCTCTCCTCTTTCGCTCTTTCACCTCTTATTTTCGCTCTCTCCTCCCTCCCCTAGCCTCTCTCTCTCGCTCTCGCTCTCTCCCTCTCTGCGTCTTCCTGCTTCAGATGACACCCGGAGGGCGTAATTGGCCGTGACG